GGATTCCCAATTAGGTTGTAAACATAATGTCTCTGTCTCTTTAAATTGCATGTCTTGATATATAAAAACCTGTTCAAGATTACTCAATTCCTCTTCTATTATTCCTTGTTCCACAACTTGATTCATTATTGAAGAGTCAAAGTGAGGTTCCAGTATAGCCTCCTTAAGTTTTCTCCAAGATTTCCAGTAAGTTCCAAAAATCTTAATCCTTAAATCAATCCATAGTTCTACAGTGCCTTTGATCCATTACATATGATTTTAAATTTCTCTTTTCAGTCTTATTCTGGCCTTCTTTTTGTGCCAGGCAGCTTTCCATAACAAAGCTTCCCTTTCAGCCGATAGGTCTCTCTTTATTGCTTGTAATATCATTTGAGACAGTAAAAAGCATCCTGACCTCTGCATTGGACATCTATTTCTCTTATCCTTAAAGCCTCGTTGCTTTAAAGGTTCAAATCTCAGTCTTTGATTTTTCTGATCCTCGAAGATATAGATGAAATGCTTGTAAGGTAAAATAAATTCCTCTTCAATCTCAATTGATTACTCTTCTAGTATGTTTTGGTTTGTAGAATGGTCAGATGTAGTCTGCAAGTCAGTTTGAAAGTTTGGGGTAGAGTTTCTGGCTCTTAATTCTGTAGTAATCTCTTTCATTGTGGCACATATTTCTTCAGTAGCCTCATACATCTTTTCCAATATAAGTTTACAGTTTAAGTGAGAATAAGGTTTCTCCATTTTAATAGTAATTGAAGAGAATCCTTTTTTTCTTTTAGTGGAGACTTTAGTGGATAAAAGTTAAGCAATGTCCACCCCACAATTCCCACAGCTGCATCAGATTATCTTTTCTCTTCAAGAGTAGTTTAAAGGTCAAATCCCTCTCATCTCCAAACAATAATCAACAGTTGCAATGTTAGCTTTTCGCCACTAGATATCCTCAGTAGATTAAAAAATCTTTTCCAGACACCATTTCCCCCTTTTTTCTGTCTTTTAAAGGAAAAAGTGGGAAAAGAAATAATCTTCCAGTATAAAATAATAGTACAGCTCAGAAAAATGTTTTTTCTGTATCCCAAAGTGAATGAGAATAAAGTGTAGTCTTTAAATTTTTTTTGTTCTATCCTTTTGTTCAGCGCCTTTCTTCCCACGCATACAAAAGCTGCTTTTTCAAGGCAGGGAAATAATTCCAACAAAGCTTTTACAGGCAATAAAAAAAACAAAATAGGGTGAAGAAAGGGGCAGAAGGGGTCTCACCCGGATCAACCGCGGTGGGTCTATTACGCTTAGATGTAATTGTGACTTCGGCTGGTGCAGCAGGGTAATCGGCCATCTTACAGGACGATCTTTGCTCCGTCGGCCCTAAGAAGATAGCTGGAGCCACGGGAGAAGCTCCCGCCCTCCCGCAGTCACCAGCAAGCTTCCTCCTCGGTAGTCGCCCCTCCAGGGCAACTTTCGACCCACTAAGGGGTCTACCGCTGAAGAAAACCGGGCCGGAGTGGAGACGAGTCTCTAGACACGACTGGCGTCGCCGCCTACCGGAACCGGAAGTCTACAATGTTATAGTTTCTAATGTAGTTGAAAAGTTCTTTAAAATTTAGGAAGTTATTCAGAACCTGCCTTGAAAGTAGCCCATATTAAACTGTATAGTAGTCAAACTTCAGCAGTTGAACACAGGAAAATATTTTATAACATTTTATATTCAACTATAAAATGCTTTATAATAATTTTTATATCCAAAAATATTTTACAAAAGTTTTCCAATTCCACAGGAGTCATAGGCCCCAGATTTTGGATACATTTTATAAGTTAGCCCATTTGAGGTTCAAAACGTTTTGCCCTATGATGCACTGTTTCACCCAGTTAAAAATTATAGACATGAGACATAATCTCAGATAGAATTAAATGCAATGGTAGTACTTTCAATGTAAGTTAGGAAAACATGAAATCTGAATGTCTGGACTGACTGAATGTCTGACTTCTTTGCTGGAGAAAGTTTTTTAAAAAGTCAATCAAAAATTGCACTGGTCGTTTATACATTACATACATTACACTCAATAGAGCTCCCCTCCTAATGTCCCTATCCAAATGTTGCAGGGAGGGCAGACTCCTCGGCATACCAGGCTGGAAGACATGTTTTATGCTGAGATGCAGGAAACAAGTTCTGAAAAAACTATGTTTATAAGGACTAAGCTCATACCAAGGTTATCTGCTTTTAGCTGTCCATATGGGTTTTGCCCATTAAATGCCTCTCCATCAGTGTCATTATGATACAAATATTTTGAGTTTCACACCATTAAGAGCTATGATGGCACAGTGGTTAGAATGTACTATTGCAAGCTAATTCTACTGACTGCCGACTGCTGACTGACAGCCATTTGGCAGTTCAAATCTCACCAGCTCACTCAGCCTTCCATCCTTCCGAGGTTGGTAAAATCAGGACCCAAATTGTTGGAGGCAATACGCTGACTCTGTAAACTGCTTAGAAAGGGCTGTAAAGCACTGCGAAACAGTATATAACTCTAAGTGCTATTGCTATTGCTATTATTAATTTGACAAAAAATTGAACATAACCAAAATTGTTGACATCAAGGGTAAGCTATAAAAGGTAGGTAGGTAGATAGATAGGAAGGTAGGTAGGTAGGTAAGTAGGTGGCAGGTAGACAGACAGACAGACAGACCAGATTGTACATAGCTCTTCAAAATTACAGAAATGAAATATTCCACATGTTCAAGGCAGTTTTTGCTGGAAGTATCTTCTGGGAACATCCACATGACAAGTGCTTTTGAGCCTAACATTAACAATGGGAAAGTCTCCTCCAAAATCAAAGTATGAATATAATTTACTATAGAACACTGCATTTTTTGTGGGGGAAACTGGATCATGAAAGAAAATTACTTAAAGGCAAGATAGATTAACAAGTCTCACTCTTCTAGGGATTTCCAAATGTAATTTTACCAATAACAATTATATATTTTATGACATGCATAACTGAGAATACTGATCTCTAATGGTTGGATAAATAAACATTTTCTTCTTTTAAACAGATTTTTATGATTAATAAAAAGGATAATTTATAAATACAAAAATGTTGTATGATCATGGCAACATTTATATCACCATTCTGATATTTGCTCAGAATTACTTCCATTTTCTATCACTTTCTTTCATGCAGTAGACAAGAGTGTTGATTCTTTATCTGCTTTTAGAACAGAAATTTATTATGATCGTAGACCAGACTTATGGATAGAAGTACATAAAATTCTTGATCTATTATTATAGCAGCCCCATTAATGGCTTTCAATAAAAAATATTTAATAAAAATAAAATTCATGGAAAAAATAAACGCTGTATTAAAGTACAGCTTTAGTTTAGTATAAAAATTGGCATGTAATACTACTTTGTTCTTTTCATGCAAAAAGCTGATTCATTACTGAATCAGTTACAGAATATCTATAATAAGAAGTATAGACCCCCTACAAGCACTCCCTATATTCTACATACAATGAGCAAAGGAAAATTATTATTTCATTCTTAAATATTGTCCTACAGTAAATGTGGCAAAAATCTAATACAGTTTTTATATTCTTTTAGAAGTTTTATTCTTGCTTTTAGAGTTATATGTTATAAATTATTATTATAAGTTTAATATACTTAATAGAAGGGATATTTACTATCTTCTGCTGCACTCCACTAGAAATAATTGTGAGAAATCTAACAACAAAATGTTTAAATTAGAAACAGTTCCTCCACATGAAACACTGCATTTTTTTTCACTAACAGTATTTCAGAATAGATGCTTTTAAGCTGCATAAGGTATTTCATATACATCATTCTAAATCAAATGACTTTATTATAGTCTTTGATCAGCCTTTACAATAAAAGAGGTCAGTAAAAAGGGAAAAAATAGGACAATAAAACAACATATCTAATTAAAATCTTTGCACAAATTATAACTTGGTGAAGATATTAGGCCACCTAATATGTGAATGTGGGGTCAACAGTCCTTAAAAATAATAAACATAAAATTTATCTGTGTGGAATTTGTATTTGGAAGTAAATACAAGGTATCATATACAAGTTAAGGTATCATAGAAAGGACACCTTAGGAGGACATGGGCAAGAGTTTCTACAACTCTGGATTCACAAGAGCAAAGTCTCTGTAACTAAGAAGTTCCATAAAATTTTCCTGCAAGTATATCTGGAAAGGTGGGCACCAAAGCAGGCTCTGGAAAAGACCAATCTATATTTGTTTAATGTTAAATTGCATAGAAACCCTGCAGTAGAAGGCTTGCAACTCTCTAACATTAGGTGATAGGATTCAGGGGCACTGGTAATACCATTTTGGTAATTCTCTCTTTTATTATTGATTTAGCTTTCTCAAGGATTAATTGGCCTAGAAGAGACGCCAAGACTGCAAAGTTCTGCTATGCAGATGCAATGTCAATGGGATTGGTAATTGTCTGATAGCAGCAGAGGCATGAGGCCTGCAAAATCAAACTTTATGTCTATACAACTCCAAGCTTGTGCAAACTCTGGCTGACCAATCCTATAGACTGAACAAAGATATTCAGACTCCCTACATATTGTTTTAGGAGATTTTAACAGTGCAAATCTATGCCAGATTTGCCAAGATACATTCAGCATGCTAACCATCTCACCAGCATGTTTTACACCACTGCTACTCAACATTAGAAGATGTTTATCACTTTCTACAATGAGTGGCTATGGGTCACTCTGATCATTGTGTGCTTCACCTTGTGCAGGTTTATAGACAAAGACTTAAAACCATGAAACTGATAGTTAAAAACAGTCTTGGACTGAGGAAGCAAAGTTTAAGCTATAGGTTTGCCTGAACTACGCAGACTGGAACATTTTCGAAGCTACCTCAGCAGAGTTGGATGAACTTACTGATACTGTTGTTGTGGAATTGAAGGACACAAGCCAGCTCTTTGGAGAAGGGGGACAGTTTACATTGTCTACGAGGTGCACACCTAATAGCATATAAGGCCAAGGGCAAAGCATCTGGCCATTTCAAATGACTTTCAGCACAAATCTTAGTAGTTTTCTCTTTTAGGGTGCGGTTCATTCGTTCAGCAGAACCTCCTGATTGAGGATGGAAAGCACTGTGGAACCGCCACTTGGACCCTACTGACTGGGCCACAGCCTGATTAATCTGATGTATGAATTCAGGCCCGTTATCTGATGAGATAAGGGATGGACTCCCAAACCGCGGGATCAATTCCTTTAACAAAATTCTAGCCACTTCCCTTGCCTGCTTCGTTTTAGTGGGGAAGGCTTCTGGCCAACCCGTATACCTATCCACAAAAACCAATAGAGCTTTGTACAAGCCACATCTAGGCATGTCAGTAAAATCAACCATTACAGAATCCATAGGAAAGTATGATGATGGTATGGTTCCTGGGGGTAAGAGGGGTCCTTGCCTAGGGTTAACCTTGGCACAGGTAGCACATTGGGAAACAATTCGAGCTGCCATACCAGCCACTCCATTGATGTAATAGTCTCGTCCCAATGCCTCTTCCAACCCCAATTTGCCCATATGGGTAGCATCATGCGACGATTGAACCAAAGCCCAAGCTGAGGACTGTGGAACAAATATGCGCCCATCAGATAACACGTACCACCCATCCTTGATAGTTGCCTTGAGGTCTGTAACTGCCTTAACACATTCTTGCTGAGAATACGTTGGCCGGATAGTCGGGGGCAAAACTCCCAGATCCATGGCCACATGTATGGAGAGATCTATGGTGGATTCTCCTCTTCTAGCAGCAATCCTAGCTTCCAAGTCTGCCCTCCTATTCCCTTGGGCCACCTTATCTACTCCTCTCTGGTGCCCCTTACAATGCATAACTGCAACCTTAGTTGGCATCTGTACTGCGATAAGGAGGCGTTGAATGAGGTATCCATGTTGTACATATTTACCCGCTGAGTCACGAAATCCCCTCTCTTTGTACACAGCCCCATGTGCATGTAATGTTAGGAAAGCATATTTACTATCCGTCCATACATTCAAAGTCTCACCCACAGCTCTTTCCAATGCTCTAAGTAATGCCCACAATTCATCCACCTGTGCACTGTGTTCAGGGCCCAATGGCCCACTCTCTACAACTTTATCATCATCTACTATAGCGTAGCCTGAAACTCTTTTTCCCTCATGCATATAGCTGGACCCATCTGTATACCAATTGAGTTGAGCTGCCTGCAGAGGGATGTCCGACAAATCATGCCTGCTAGAGTAAACACTCTCCAATACTTGCAAGCAATCATGTTCCATGTTGATGTCTCCTGGCAACAAAGTGGCTGGATTTAGCCGATTTGAGACAATCAATTTAACTTGTGGGTTTTCAATCATTAATGCTTGATATTTAAAAAGTCTTTGTTTGCTTATCCAGAGATGCCCATTATTATCTAAAATGGCTTGCACTGCATGGGGAGTGTGTACATTTACAGGACATGAGAAGGTCAATTTATTACAGTCCTGCAACAGGACTGCTATAGCAGCAAGGACCTTCAAACAATGTGGCCATCCCTGTGCCACCCCATCCAATTGTTTAGACAGACATGCTACCGGCCGTTGCCACTGGCCTAACTGTTGAGTCAGAACCCCCAAAGCTACATTATCTCTAGTATCCACATACAAATTAAAAGCTTTTTCCAGGTTTGGTAAGGCTAAAGCTGGAGCTGACGTGAGTGCTAGCTTAACATCCCTAAAAGCCTTTTTCTGTTCTCCTTCCCAGCAAAACAACTCATGTTCACCCCCCTTTGTGGCTGCATATAGTGGGGCTGCCATAAGGGCATAATTTGGAATCCATATTCGGCAAAACCCAGCCAAGCCCAGAAAACCTCGTAACTGTCTCCGGTTTGTGGGCTCAGCTATAGCCAAAACTGCCTGCTTTCTTTCCCATCCCAAGGCTCTATGTCCATGCTCAATATCATACCCTAAATAACGCACCTTCTGTTTTACCAACTGGGCCTTTTTCCTAGACACTCTATAACCACATTGGGACAACAAGCCCAACAAGGAGGCTGTATTGTCCCAACAGGTATCCTCTGTCTGACCTGTTACCAACACATCATCCATGTATTGCAACAGGGTATCCCCCCTTTGCCGAGGCACAAAATGCTGTAAGTCCTTTCCCAAGGCAGTACCAAACAGGGTGGGCGAGTTTTTAAAACCCTGTGGCAGCCTTGTCCAAGTCTATTGTGATTTCAATCCAGTCCTAGGGTTCTCCCATTCAAAGGCAAACAAGGGTTGGCTTGCCTCATGAATTGGGATTGTGAAAAACGCGTCCTTCAGGTCTATCACAGAAAACCACGCTGCCTTAGGTGGAATCAGGCTCAATAAAGTGTATGGATTGGGCACGACAGGGTGAATGGTCACTGTCATGGAGTTGATGACCCGGAGGTCTTGGACCGGGCGGTAGGACCCATCCGGCTTCCTAATGGGCAATATGGGGGTATTCCAAGGCGACTGGATAGGCACCAAAATCCCTGCCTTCAGATACCTTTGAATACTCTCATATATTGCAACTATAGCCTCATTGGAGCATGATCTCTGGTGAATATGTACAGGCGCGGCTACTGGTTTCAATTCTACAATGACCGGTGGGTGGTGGGCGGCAAAGCCCGGAGGATTATCTTCCGCCCACAACCCTGGTACTCCAAATTCCTTCCATGTCTCCTCCTGTATCTCATCCTCTAATGATCGCACCACCATTAGCCTCCACATAGTCTCAGGCTGATGTTTCACTTGAATCCTTTGCTGGCCTTCATCAAAAGAAATAGTGGCCCCTAGTTTGCTGAGCAGGTACCTACCCAGCAAAGGTATCGGGCATTCAGGCATATATAAAAATTCATGCTGGATCTTGGAGCCTTTAAACACACATGTTACAGGCTGAAGCACTTGGCGTCCCAGTACTTGTCCTGTTACACCTTGAACCTGCATACAGTGGGGACCTGGGACAGCAACCTGGCTATTTACAACTGACCTTCCTGCACCAGTATCCACCAAGAAAGTTGTCTGCCGACCCCCTACATCCATAGTAACCAAAGGCTCAGGGGGGGTCTCCTCTAAGCCTGAGCCTGGTCCCCGTCAATCTGTCCATCCAGTCCCTGCCAATCCAATCCCCTCTATTTCTCTCCTTTCAACAAAACCTCCTCGACCTCCTCTGTTTCCTCTCCATCGTCTGCCTCCAAAGGGGGACCTCAAAGGTGCTCCACGCCCGAAGCCACCACGTCCTCCTGCTAACCTACCTCTCCACCCTTGTCCTCTCAGCACTTTCTTTGGGCATTCTCTTTGCCAATGACCTTCTTCCCTGCAATTTGCACACTGATTTGGTCCTAGTAGCATCCCTCCTTGCAGAGCTACAGCCAACAGCTCGGTCTTTCTGTGCATTCTTGCCTCCTTTTCCTTTTTCTCTATTTTATCCCTGTTAACAAACACTTTCCTCGCAACTTCCAACAATTCAGAGGTATTTTTCCCTAAGGCTCCTTCCAGCCTTTGCAACTTTCTTCTGATATCCTCATAACTCTGTGCTATAAAGCGCTCATTCAACATCCGCACATGGTTCTCCTGCCTGGGGTCTATCTGAGTATACAATTCATAAGCCTCTATCAACCTCTGCAAAAAGCTTTCTGGACTTTCCTCCGCTCCCTGGATTACTAAAGACGGCTTTGACATATTTACTGGAGGCTTTCCAGCTTTACGCAACGCCTCCACCACCAGATTCTGATACTCTTTCAGCGCTGTCATGTGGGCGTCATCACGAACATTCCACCCTGGATCAGTCTCTGGGGCTTTAGCCAAAACACCTGCTTGCGAATCCTGGGCAGCTGGATTCCTATCCCTCACACACGTTCTAACAGCCGCTCTCCACTTTTCCTTTTCCTCGGGCGTTAACAAGGTATTCAACAGCTGCTGAATATCCTGCCACGTGGGATTGTGAGTTTGCATAATGGTCTGAAACAAATCTGCCATTTCCGTTGGCTTAACAGTTAAAGGACCGTAATGCTGCTTCCAATTCAACAAATCTGTGGTGGTAAACGGAACATACTGGAAAATGGATTTGGTCTGTGCAGCTCCCTGTTGATCCATTACATGCTGATCCATCTGTCTTAAAGGAGCGAGCAGCTCCCCTCCCCTAGCCTTAGACCTAGTCATTACTCCCGTCGAGACTGCAACTTCGGTCTCCTCACTTCCCTCTTCACACAGCTCTTCAGTTTCCCCTCCAGGGTGATCTCTCGCCCGTCCTTTCTCCTCCTTAGGAGCAGTTGGCACAGCCTTCCCTCCCCTCCTTCTCACCACTGCTTGCGCGCTTTCAGCCTGAGCCGCAGCCCCTGCCCCAGGCTGGAGCAATGGGGGTGCTGCCACAGGCTGGGGTGGGGGAGGCGGCTGTGGCACATACGGAGGGGGACGAAGCACTGCTTCCTCTTCTTCTACTAAAACCTCCTTCCTTAAGTCTGACAGCTTTGTTTCTGCGATCTTCACATCCTTATATTTTTTCTCCACTGCTTTCAACTTTTTCCCTTTTGGTCTAACTACACACAAACGCACCATTTCTGCCTGGCACTGTAGCAGATCATCTGCCCGTTCTGCTACTGCATCCCCCACTGATCTATGTACTGAAATTGATTGGGATAATTTTCTTCATTGGCTGCAATCAGTGAAGTCAGATCATCGATAAGCTGGGTATTAAACGTTCCCTCAGGGGGCCAGCCCACATCTAAATGAGGCCACCAATCTTCGCATAGGAAACGCAGCCTATCCTTAGAAACTGGGGGATATGGCACTTTATACTTGGTGTGATTGAAATAGTGATCAAAACCTTTTAACATACATTGAAGTGGTGTGCTAGGCACACTACTTTTCCCCCCCATTCTAGCACTAACACTGCCAACGCCACTGACCTACGGTGCTGGAAACTCGACAGTCACCTATAGGAACTGCAGCAGCAGATGGCTTAACCTCCCACACACACACCCTAACAGACTTCTTTAGGAACGACGTCCCGAGTCCAGGGGGGCGATCAATCCCCCTCTTCTATCTTCAAGCAAGATAGGTACTTCCCCAGTTTAATACATACTCGCCTGAGGCGTCTTCACACACGCACGTCCTGGCCAGGAGCAGTTCAGACCTCCTTTCCTTCCCCCAAGGGTTCTTGGACTAGCTATCTGCACCGTCGGCTCCGCAGAGAAGTCACTTCTGTCTCCCGGAGGGGATTCCCCCGTGGCGCCTGGAGAATGTTTCAGGAGTGGCTTCCCATCGGGCCCGAGGGGTCAAGCTGTCCTCAGCGAAACATCGCCTCGCCCATGTCCCATCTGGGGTGCCAGGAAACTGTTGTGGAATTGAAGGACACAAGCCAGCTCTTTGGAGAAGGAAAGTTTATTTGCGCAGGTTCAGATGGCCAAAGCCAACAACAAGATCTGAACCCCGTGGAGTGTCCAGAGTACACATATATAGGCTATACAACGTATGCATTTCCTGACCCCTCCAGGTCCCATATATGGTAATATGTTAAACATTGTGATCTCAGCATTCCTGATGGTATGGAAAATTACCAGACAGTTGAACATTGACACAGAGATAAAAATAGTGAATTGGCTACTAAGCAAAGCAAAAACAGGATATGGGTGAAATATGGCTGAAGCAGTCAAGGGCAGTGTGAGAGAGCATTATCTCCAGACTCAGCAATTTCTGGAATGCCTCGTGACTTTCCACCTCACTGTGGCATCATACGTCAGTTTTTTGAGGACTAATGTGTGCCAACCAAAAGCATATACATGTACAGTAACAATAAATCTTGGTTCACAGCTAAGCTCAAGCAGCTACATCATGCCAAAGAGGAAGCCTACAGGAAAGGAGATAGAATGCTGTACAATCAAGCCAGGAATGTATTAACAAGGGAGATCAGAGCAGTGAAGAGAAGCTGCTCTGAAAAGCTGAGCATTCAGCTCTCAGTAAATGAACCATCAAATGTATGGAAAAGCCTGAGAAATATCACTGGCTACAGCAGACCCCCCCCTCCCTTACTGAAGGGAACTGGCAACTGGCAGATGATCTGAATGTGTTCTACTGTAGGTTTGAGAGAAAACTACTGTCAAATATTGCTACCCTCCCCATCTCAGATACAACAATAGCCAAGTCTCCTACACCTGACTCCATCCCTCTGGGCCCCCCATCTCTGATGATCCTAGAAAAAGAGGTGTGAGGTCTACTTCACAGACAAAAGACTGGAAAGCACTTGGTCCAGGTAGAGTAACTCCTTCTTGCTTGAAAGTCTGTGCTGATCAACTGGCCCACATTTTCATCCGCATCTTTAATAAATCATTAGAGATCTGTAATGTCCCTCTTGTTTCAAATGTTCTGCTATCATCCCGGTAACCAAGAAACCCTCCATCAAGGAACTGAATGACTACAGACCAGTTTCTCTGAGATCTTTAGTTATGAAAACCTTCAAAGGTTATGCTGGCCCACCTGAAAATCATCACAGATCTGCTGGTAGACCTCTTGCAATTTGTCTACCATGGTATGGATAACAAATGCAAAATCCATCTGGCTAATGAAGGATCCTAGCTGACCTATTAGGTATATTAAGCAAAGATACAAAAGTTATAGCCATAACATATGAATCCAATGACAAAGATCAGAGAGCTCTCACACTGCAAACCTACTCATTCAGAGAGACTGTGGCCAAGAACAAAAGGGGCGTTGTCTTACCTGAATGCCTTTTCTCAGCATGATGATGGAGAATCCACGAGTGGGTTGTCTTAACCTTCCTGCTCAGATGAGACTAAGTCTAGAAAGTTGCCACGCCTCCTGCTGGGCTAGACTAACCAAGTTTTCGACCAAGGCGAAGCAACCGACAATAGTCTGACGCGTTGGCTCTTCCTATCCCTGACACAAGACCAGACGGACCTTAAAGGGCAGGTGTGGATTCTCCATCATCATGCTGAGAAAAGGCGTTCAGGTAAGACAACGCCCCTTCTCCAGCATGATGACTGGAGAATCCACGAGTGGGACATACCAAAGCCGCTCTGTCCCTACGGGGGGGAACTAGTCTGGGCTTGTTTCCCATTGGCTGATACCACTTGCTGCAATACCTTCCGGCCAAACGAAGCATCCGAAGAGGCAAACTTGTCCAACTTGTAATGCCTGATAAACGAGGAAGGGGAGGACCAAGTTGCTGCCTTGCAGATTTCCTCAATGGATGCCTGTGTCGACCAAGCCGCTGATGTAGCCGCACTGCGGGTGGAATGGGCAGTGATATGGCCGGGAACAGGCAGGGAATGTGACACGTATGCACGGGCGATACAAGCCTTGATCCATCTTCCTATGGTCGAAGAAGAGACCTTCTGGCCCATGGAAGAGGGCTGAAAGGAAACAAACAGTGCCTCGGACCTGCGGAAGGCAGAAGTCCATTTAATATAATGTCACAGGGCCCTGCGCACGTCCAGCTTATGCCACTGCCATTCTAGTCTATGAGAAGGAGGGCAAAAATTGGGAAGTACTACCTCCTGCGTCCTATGAAACCGGGGACAAATGTTGGATCTAAATGAAGGACCACCCTGTCCTCATGGAACATACACAGGTCCCCTCTGACGGAGAGGGTTGCCAGCTCAGAAATGCGTCTTGCTGACGTGATGGCAATCAAGAAGGCCACCTTCATTGAAAGGAGTCGTAGAGTGCAAGACTTAATTGGTTCAAATGGTGGTGAAGTCAGGGCCTGTAGAACCCGTGACAGATCCCAAGAGGGGTATCGATGTATCGCCAGTGGCTTGGCATTAGTCGCCCCCTTGAGAAAGGAGCGTATCATGGGGTGCTGGGCCAAAGGAGCAGAACTGTCACATGTAAGCACCGTGGATAATGCCGCTACCTGTCTGCGGATAGTATTCGGAGTTAATCCTTTATCTAGACCCTCCAACAAATAGTCCAAGATATTTGGAATAGTGATGGAGAAGGGATGGAAGTTGTGCCTAGTGCACCAGAGGCAAAAGCTCTTCCATGTCGCATCGTAAATCCTATTTGTAGAGGGGTGTCTGGAT